TTTTTTTATTAAATGTTTGAAAAATTAATATTATTTTAAGGTAACTGAACTTATAACATTAATATAACATGTCACATAACATGTTACCTTATTGAGGAGGAATAATAAGAAATATCTAACTTCGATGTTACTTTTATGCTACATAACACGTTAGCTTCGAAAATGTAACATTTACCTAACAGTTATATTAGAGCGTTCTGTGGGAATAGGGTGGTTAATAGTACGTAGAAAGGAAATAACTACATACTTTTTGAAAGCTTCTCTGTTCAAATTCAACGTATATTCATCTCCAGCTCCACCTCTGTAATAATCCCTTACAGAAGGCTTCAAATGTTTCAATGCGTATCGTTCGTAGTCCAAAAGGCACACAAATTGCTCCATTGCGGGACTAAATCTGTGACATCGAGAAAATGAAATTATTTCCTGGAAAATTTCAAGGTAAACCGCTTTTCTAATAATTAACTGTCAATGTTTATGTATAATATCCGACGTTGCGATATGACAACCTTAGTCAAAAGTCTACGATAAATCTATCGTTCCATATCATATCGTTTGTTCCTAATCGAATCCTAATTTCTATCCAAATCCTATTTCAACCGCTTTTCTTGTAATTAACTGTGAATTTTTATGTATAATATCCGACGTTGCGATATGACAACCTTAGTCAAAAGTCTAGATTGAGATTCGATTAGAAACGAACAATATGATATGAAATGATAGATTTATCGTTTCATATCATATCGTTAGTTTCTAATCGAATCCTAATTTCTATCCGAATCCAATTTCAACCGCTTTTCTAATAATTAACTGTGGTTTTTTATGTATAATATCTGACGTTGCGATATGACAACCTTAGTCAAAAGTCTAGATTAGGATTCGATTAGAAACGAACGATATGATATGAAACAATAGATTTATCGTTTCATATCATACCGTTTGTTTCTAATCGAATCCTAATTTCTATCCAAAACCTATTTCAACCGCTTTTGTAATAATTAACTATGAATTTTTATGTCTAATATCCGATGTTGCGATATGACAACCTTAGACAAAAGTCTACGATAAATCTATCGTTTCATATCATATCGTTAGTTTCTAATCGAATCCTAATTTCTATCCGAATCCAATTTCAACCGCTTTTCTAATAATTAACTGTGATTTTTTATGTATAACATCCGACGTTGCGATATGACAACCTTAGTCAAAAGTCTAGATTAGGATTCGATTAGAAACGTACGATATGATTGAAACAATAGATTTATCGTTTCATATCATAACGTTTGTTTCTAATCGAATCCTAATTTCTATCCAAATCCTATTTCAACCGCTTTTGTAATAATTAACTATGAATTTTTATGTATAATATCCGACGTTGCGATATGACAACCTTAGTCAAAAGTCTAGATTAGGATTCGATTAGAAACGTACGATATGATATGAAACGATAGATCTATCTTTTCATATCGTATTCATTTACAATCCGATCCGCAGCGATCTATGGAACCTTCCATTTAAATTGAGTAAGCCTCGCGTTTCAAAGATAAAATCTCCAATATTCTAACACCAAAAGAACAAATCTATATTGCATCATTTGATGTTGCCTTTTATTCATCAGGTTTAAAATCTTTTGGCTCACGGTATATTAAGTAAAATATAAATAATGGATGTTAAATTCTTTAAGGAGAAGTGAAATATAAGGCCCTTATTCACGCCTCACTTTTATGGGCGCTATTAAGTGTCTTTTAGTTAAATATTATCGGTCCCCTGCTAACAGACACATACCTTCTCTTAAGTCCACTTTTAGTTAAATGACCTCTATTACGAAACGTGATATGACAACGTTGGAAAAATGGAAAAACGACTGCGTTCCGCGCATGCGCTCCGTTAGCCCAACGCAAACGTTTTCTGTAAGCCACAAGTTTAGTGTTATCTGAATTTCTCCACAAAAATGAAAAACGAGTTTAACAGAATAAAACAGTAACCAAAGTCCTAATCAAGGACGATATATATTCGATTTCAAAAGTCTCTGATATTTATTTGATGCACCGTACTCATTTCATAAGGTTTCATTTTATGAAAAATGCCTTTCCTGCCCTCCATTATTCATATATGATTTTGACAACTACAAATTCTAAAAACTTTATACTTGATTTTGACACTTAAAGGAAGTACAAAAGTCTCTTTACCTATTTTTAGGGAATCGGCGCTCACTTTTATCCTAAATACGCTCAAAATAAAGCTTAAAAGAAGGTGTGAATAGGCATTGATGCTAAAATACGTATTTTATCGCTTTTTTTTTAGGAATTTCCATCAAATTGGTTTAGAAGTGAGACATGAGTAGGGTCGCTGTTATTGTATTAATGTATGCACTTTTAACATGTAACTGTATTAATAATGCTCTAAAATACGTCTGTTAACGCTAAAAGTGAGATATGGGTGAGGGCCTAAATTTCTAAGCAAAATTCAATTCTCTGTTCAGAAATCTACGTTTTGTTAGAATTAAACCAGATACGACGGAAGCGGTAACTCGTTTTTGCAGAATAGTAAAACAAGGCTGCAATCTTTCAAGTCTGCACTTTGAGTAAAACTGTATTTTCATATTAATAGCACTTTGACATTACTAATTCTTTCAGACTTTAAGAAATATATATATGCAAGGAAATGTTGAACGGTTAATATTAAGGTGCAGTGATACACGTCGAGGAACTTGATCAATGTCGGCAAAAAAGGTTTTTCTAACTACCCACGTTACCGACGTTAGTTTTTATATCGATAGCTGTATCGAATTATTTTGGATATTGTACTAAATCGCACACGCCACCTGTCGATTTCGTACAATAATTATAAAAAAATCGAAGTAAACCTCCAGAAATCCTTTGGATTCATGCTTTCTGGGGCCCTAATTGACTGCAGAGGGACCCCCTGCGCCATCTGTGATTTCCAGGTGAATTAAATTTTCAGTCCGAGACCTCGTATTCCCATCGTTTTAGCATAGAAGCGCACAAGAGACTTTTTTATCTTTATCCCGTTCAAACGGGAATTTATCGATTACCAGAGTATTCTAAATTGTCATATAATTGTCCTGACCCTTTCGTATCTCATATTACAGCCTTCAATAACTGGATATCGATCGAAATACGAGAGCTCGGCGCCATTTTAGTTCTGGTTTGGAATAAGTTACTAAATTTTCTCCAAAAATCCAAATTTTCAAACCATCAGGATTATTCCCAGATGCTCACGAGTCATGTGTCAAAGTTTCCGACCGTTCTATCCAATACCTTTGAAAAAAATAGTGTCTTATTCGCGAATCGACTAATTTAGGGGGGTTTCACTTCACCTTGAACTAGTCGATTAGGATAATTCAGGGATGATGAGTGTACGGACGTTATAACTCTCCACGATCCGACTAATATTAAACGAATCGTCGAGTACGATTATTCAGGGATGAGGAGTGTACGAACGTAACAACTTTCCGCGAACCGACTATCCTGCGATCGGTAGAAGTACTGAGTCTCGTAAAGCAGAATGTACATGCAGATGGCTCACAGAACACAGGCATCGTTTTATTCAAGGAGTGGTATCGATAAAGTAATAACCAATATCTCCCTACTTTGACGTACTTTAGACTCGTAACAGCTTTATCGTTCGACACAACTCAAAGTTCTCTATATTGGCTTACATATTCCAGTCATTGATAACAGTTTCCACGACACACATCGAAGACCTGTTCATGTATTAGCTTTCAAATTAGTAAGTACAACGAAAAACATTCCTTATTATTTTCAACGACGTAAGAGCGATAAATAAGATATACAACGATTATTCGTTTCGTCATTTTATGCGTCAAACGATAAGTTCATGTCTTTTTTTTAAACCAAAGATGTTTTTTCTTGAGATTTCAGGAATACTAGTGATATTTTTGGAATACATATTCACACAGGGTATACCCATGCCGCAGTTTATTTTCTTGGCGAATCGTTGATTTTTCGGAATCTATAATTACAAAAAGTTATCAGGGAGGGTGTGAACGAAGATTTCGACATCGCAATTTGCACAGAGGGAATACCCAGTGAACACTGTTATATAATTGTTGGGTAAGTGTTACGTTTTCGAAACTAACATGTTATATAACATAAAAGTAACATGGAAGTTAGATGTTAGTTATTATTTCCCACTCGGTAAGGTAACATGTAATGTAACATGTTATATTAACGTTATAATTTCAGTTACCTTCAAATAATATTAATTTTTCATACATTTCATAGAAAAAATCACGCAATATTATCCAAAATTATATAACTTTTTACTCTTAATTATTTGTTGGTACTTGACAATAGTTAGATATTAAATGACAAATCAGACTTTCAATGAAATTATGTAATGATAAACTATCTGATTTTATTTAAAGACAATTAGGATTTCATTCAACTACCAAACAATGACTGATAATGTATATGCGCGTATGAATTAAAGTCACTTTTTTTCATACGAGTAGTAAACAAAATATGACATATATTAATCTTATGACATTTGACGATGAATTATGACAATGGCGATGACGATGATGTAATAAAATAAATAACACTTAGCACCGATGTAGTTCCGTTTTGTTACAAACATGTGTTGCATATACACAATATCAGGACGGTAACATAATGTACGATGAGAGTAACAAAGTTATGCTACATTTATATAGATATGGTAGTAATAAATGTTATGTAACCTGTTACCTCCATATTACATAACTGTTAAGTTACTGCATTGTAACAAATATCATGTAACTAGTTTGCTCTATGTTACGTAACCGTTAGGTTGTTACATTGTAACAAACGTTATGTTATTTGTTAGTTTTAAGTTACGTAACTGTTAGGTTTGGTGTTCAGTGGGTAGTAATGGTCACTATGGTTTTAATAGCACTTAGAACTGTAAGAATAGTAACTATTACGATTCTCTTCTTTCAAGGTATTTGCGGATCTCGATAAAAAATTATTTTTAATTTAATTAAGGACACTTACTAAAAACCAACGTAGTTTACTATATTAAAACTAACTAGTCAGTATGACTGTACAATAATATAGATACTAGCTCAATCACTTTTTATTATACTTATCTTTTACGTAAGAAGTGTGTGATATTACATCAGCGTCTTGTGAAACACACGTGCATCTATCACTGTATAGGTTACATACAGTGATAGATGCACGCATATTGCACAATATAACTGTACAATAATATAGATACTAGTTAAATCACTTTTTATTATACTTATCTTTTACGTAGGAAATGTGTGATATTACATCAGCGTCTTGTGAAACACACGTACATCTATCACTGTATAGGTTACATACAGTGATAGATGCACGCATATTGCACAGTATAACTGTACAATAATATAGATACTAGTTAAATCACTTTTTATTATACTTATCTTTTACGTAGGAAATGTGTGATATTACATCAGCGTCTTGTGAAACACACGTGCATCTATCACTGTATAGGTTACATACAGTGATAGATGCACGCATATTGCACAGTATAACTGTACAATAATATAGATACTAGTTAAATCACTTTTTATTATACTTATCTTTTGCGTAGGAAGTGTGTGATATTACATCAGCGTCATGTGAAACACACGTGCATCTATCACTCACGAACGCTTTCTGTAGACTGTAAGATCAAGGGTGTAGGAGAATTTGAGCTACTGAAAGAATGCAACGTTTCTGCAATGATTGGAAAAAGAATTAAAATTTTTGAGTTCACAACATTTAATTTGCAATTCTAAGGCAGATGAAACAAAAAAAACCAATGGTGGTTCTTGATTCAACCCCCCTGATGCTAAAAAGGGTACCCCTATAGAGAAACAATGCATTCCGGGAACCCTCAAACATACCACACAAACCATGCGGTCTTAATCGCCAAATTTTTAATATGTTCTCCAGAAGATGATAACTAATGATTGTGAAAACAGAGAAAAAAAATTAATTATCTGGAACCGGCCGTTCATCCCCCATAACCGCGCCGGCGTACGCCCTCACGTCGCAGGAAAGGTCCTGGAAAATCTAAACCGGGAGGACTTAAGGTGAAGTGAAACACGTCGGGGAACTTGATCGACGTCGATAAAAAAGATTTTTCTAAATGCCTACGTTGCCGACGTTCGTTTTCATATTGACAGCTGTGTCGAATTATATTGTGTATTGTACCAAATGGCATACTCCACTTGTCGTTTTCGTACAATAATTATAAAGAAATCGAAGTAAACCTCCAGAAATCCTTTGGATTCATGCTTTCTGGGGCCCTAATTGACTGCAGAGGGACCCCCTGCGCCATCTGTGATTTCCAGGNTAGAGTATGCCATTTGGTACAATACCCAATATAATTCGACCCAGCTGTCAATATAAAAACGAACGTCAGCAACGTAGGCTTTAGAAAAATCTTCTTTATCGACATTGATCAAGTTCCTCGACGTGTTTCACTTCACCTTAACAGTTATCTAACATGGAGGTAACAGGTTACATAACATTTGTTACTATTATATCTACATAAATGTAGCGTAACTTTGTTACTCTTATCTTACATTATGTTATTGTCCTAATATTACTGGGTATATGCAGCACACATTTGTAACAAAATAGAACTACATCGGTGCTAACTGTCATCTATTTTATTACATCATCGTCATTGTCATAATTCATCGTAAAATGTCATAAGATTAATATATGTCAAATTTTGTTTACTACTCGTATGAAAAAATGTGTTTTAATTCGTACTCGCATACACATTATCAGTAATTGTTTGCTGGTCGAATGAAATCGTAGTCTTTAAATAAAATCAGATAGTTTATGGTTTACATAATTTCATTTAAAGTCTGATGTATTATATAATACCTAACTGTTGCCAAGTGCCACAAAATATTACAAAATAATAAATCACATAATTTGTTATGAAACTGCATTATTTTTTCATTAAACGTTTGAAAAGTGAATATTATTTTAATGTAACAGAACCTATAACGTTAATATAACATGTTACCTTATTGCGGGGGGAATAATAACAAACATCTAACTTCCATGTTACTTTTATGCTACATAACACGTTAGCAACGTAAAATTTAAACTATTGTTAAATAGTTAAACGTAAAATTTACCTAACAATTATATGTGCCCATAATTATGAAAGTGGTCTAAGTCATATATTTTTTGTTTCGAAATTACATTGAAGTAATTTAGTTTGATATAATGTGGCGTGAAATAACTGATAAACTCATTTTTTTTTTCAATTTTGACTTAGACCACTTTCATAATTATGGGCACATATAACAGTGTTCAGTGGGATAGTTGAAGCAAGAAGCTCGCGTCGCAGAAACCGAGGAACCGCGGGGAGTAAATTAAGCCATTCGTTTGTTGATTTAACATTTTATTACATTCGTTAGAAATAATACACAAACGCTAAGGTTTCGTTTCCAAAATAAATAGGATTTACTTATTCCGGAGCAAAACCCATTCTCGGACCGGTCGCCCGCAACGGGTGCGCCCAAGCTCGTCCCCTTTTCGCCGCGTTGCGGATGCGGTCCACACGAGGTTATCCAGGCAAATAAAATGCGTACATAAATGCACTATGAACAAATATTACAAAAAATGATGCGATTTTATACACGGCTTTAGTAATCCCTCTCGTCACGGCACTATATTACGGAAGAGGCGGGCCAATCGGCGAACCGGCGACGCGTCGCTCCGATTAGATCGGATCCGATATATCGGACCCGATCGCATCGATTTCTCGCCACGAAGACCGACCTCGAGGTCGTCGTCTCGGCTCGTTCTCGCGGAACGCTGAAATCGCCCTCGATCGATCGAACATCGAACGTTACAAAATGACGATACTTGAGGTGGCAGGGAAAAGGTGTTGATTATTTACAGCACAACTAAGGGAGGGCTTCGCTTCGCTACGTCCAAACGCGGCCTTTCGCCCTCCGAATTCTCGCAATTCTCGCTCCTACGAAACCTTCCGGTCGATCCGTTTTTCCTCTCCATCGTCTACTGAGCTCGAGTTCCTGATTTTTTGCGTCCCTCGGATCTCGACGGCTCGTCGTTTCCTACGAAAAATCGCTACGATGAACGGTCGAGAACATAGGTGCTGACTTTTGGTAACGCCGGAACAAGTCTAACGGCGCAAACGTTTCCGGAACGGAAGTAGAATAAGTTGATACGAAATCGGATATCGTTTTATCCGCTTTCGACGTCTACATCCAGATCGAGTTTCTTTACAGAGCTGGCTTTATACAAGGTATTACAAAAATGGTGGACACGACTTACGCGGCGCTATCCTTGTAGAAAACGGAGTCGATAAGTCCTGTACTATTTTTCTCTTTACGGTGCATGGTTAACCCGCAATAATTAATTGAAAAACAGCCGACCAGACGCGTCGTTTAGCCGAACGCGTATCGGATTGTATGTTGGCGATTTTTCAATTAATTATTACAGGTAACAATGTACCGTCAAAAAGTTAGTATAGGACTTTTAGACTCCATTTTCGACAATGACAGTATCGCGTAAACAGTGT